TGAACACAACAAAAGATTTCATAAAGAGTTACAAATTCAACTTCAGTTTTTTATGGCATATATATGTAATTTTTGTTGAAGAATGAGTTATAGGAATTTATCGGTTAAAGAAATCCAAATTCGATTGTACATATTCATGATGATCTAATATAAAGTCGAAATATTTATGATTATTTATTTATACAATGTGTATATTATGTTATGTGTATATTATGTCAAGCAACAATTTTATATAAAACAATTTTATTGCTTATCACACTAAGAACTTGTGTAGGTTTTAATGCTCCTTTCTTTAATTATTTGATATATTATGATACTAACTGATATTGAATAATAATTAAATAACATTTGTTTCCCATTATTGAAAAAGGTATCTAAACTGAAATGGAACAGTGCAGAGAGTGAAGAAAGAAGATGGGAGAGTGGAAGGGAGCAATTCATTAAAACTGCCGAAGGCGATGAACGATTATCTGTAGCCTGTATTTGAAGCCACGCATTAAATCTACGTTATTACAGGTTATTACCGAGTAATGAGAGACTTTCTCGCGCCATTTACGTATCTGGCCTGCCGATGCAATTCCACCCCCCCCTCTCCTCCCCTCCTCCCCCTCTCAACTCCATCGTATGCATTCCATCCCTTACGTGTCTTCAACGCGCGTTGAAACATCTAACGCACACGAGTACACGATTTAATTGAGCAAGTTATGTCTCATAAATTGATAAATTAAACAAATTTTCTTGGGTACAACAAAAAATGTATTGCCTTAACAATACGTTTTATTGAAATTCTTACGTTTTATTGAAATTAAACTAATTGTGCCTTGTGTTGTAGATAAAAAAATCTGCTTTACACAAATTAAAAGAGGGTCTCCTACATTATAAGAAGTCAAAAACAAGATGCTCTTTCGTAATTTTTTTTCATAAAGAAGATTAATGTTTATCAATTTCAAACTTTTTGCATGTTTTAATACATGTTTTAATATATATATTATAATTATTGTAGAATACATACAAATTTTTATGTAAAAAGTAAATAATAAAAACTAAATAAAAACATGAACATTTAGTTTAGTGGTTCACCACGACATAACAATTTTATGTACTTTTAGTGGCTGTAATTCTTGCCTGAACCAAAAAATCAAAACAGATTTTTAATTTGTATAGAATATCATACTATGTAAACCTAAAAAAATTTTTTTAAGTCTATATAAATTACAATTTTGTGCGACTGAAGAAAATAATTACGATTTTCACTAGATAGCAACCGTTTATTTATGCAAAAAAAATTATTAATATTGATTTTTATTTAATTTTTTAGGTTTACATAGAATGGTTGACTAAAGAATGAACCCAAAAGAAGTCGATCGGACAAATACTTTTTTCTCAATTGTGTATACAAAATTTGAAGAAAATGCACAAAATTCGAGAAAAATGCGTTTAAAGTTTTCGATGTGTATACCTTATATACACGTATATATATATATAGAGCCTGTATATGCAAGCGCCGAATTTATATGAAAGGACTTTGAAATTTTCGCTCTAAAATTTTAGAGACATATTCCATTCGAATCGATACTATCGATTTATGAAAAAAAATCGAATTTTTTTATTCTCTAATGTTTTTAACTCTCTCTAGGAGATCCTCTTAAATCTATAACAAAGCTGGATCTTAGTTTAATCCGGGAGTAGGCACGTCTCGAAACTAATGTTAGTAGGCGCGTCCTGATCATTTTGATATGTGAAATATATTTTCGCACATATATGTATCATAACTAGAATACATATATGATTATAATTACTATAAGTAATAATTAATAAGAAAATGAGACTAATTACACTAATTACACTAATTACATTAACGTAAGTAAGTTTACGTACTATTGTGTACTGGGACTATTGTGTTCGGTCATGGCTTAGATGTTGCTAACTTTTATCAAGCTGCCAAGCTTTTTCGTGATTGTTTCCTTTTTTTGATTTTTATCTGCATTTTCGAACTAGTTTGTGGCCAAACTGGCTGCGAGAGTCAATAAAAGAAGAAAAAAAAGACTTTATGTAATGTAAGTGCGCACGCTACGGTCTTTTAGACCGACCGACGTTACAACATATCAAATTTTATGTAAACATAAGTATGTTTAAATCATCTATTTTCGCACTATACGAAAAAACATTAACAAACGTACGTAAAAATATAATAGTGCCAATAAATTGAAAGATATAAATAGAAAATAAATAGATATAGATAGAAAACAGCAAAATAATAGCGCGAATTAAAAGCTTAAATAATATAATATCTATATGTATTTATGTACTACATATGTGTGTAGTCATTTAAACTGTGCACCAAATTGATTTTTCGACTAGAAACGCAACTGAACTACTGCAGTAATATCATATTAAATTGATAAGTAATTCAATAATTTACTCAATTAGACATCCCATTAAAGAGATATGCTGGAAATTTATAACAAATGTATTGTGAAAAATATTACCTCCACCGGAAGTCGAATTCGAGAATAATTTTTTGTAATGATTGTTAAGTTTTACATTCTTGTAGCATATAAAATTTTATGAAAATGGAAAAAAATCGTTGACGATATATGTAAGCAGTAATTGTTATTGTTCTAAATTAAAGGACAGTCATGGTTTTTGCACAGAATTTGTAACTTTTGTGTAATACCAAGATAATTGAAAGAACAAAGAAACGTAACAAATATTATGAGGTTCACAATTAACATAGGAAGAAATTTGATGTATGTAAGAGACGGAATCATTTTTCATGGACGTGTGCATTCTTAACAACAACTATGTTACTTTTTTCAAAAAGAGATTTGATGCAATTATGTTAAAGATTGTGCGTTTGTAATATTAAATTCTTCAAGATTTTATAAGAGAATAATATATAAATTTTAAATATTTTTTTTATGTATTTGATACATTTTTTTATCTTTGTAAGTTTCTTTTATGATACAAATTTTTCCAAATCTACAATTTCAATGTAGATTTAGAAATATAATACAAAATATAATACAAAAATCTAAAATTTCTTATAAATGTTTTTATGTGCACAAAATGTATAAAATGAATAAAAATATTGGACAAAATACGTTTACAAGTATAATATAATAAAGTTTTCAAAAGATTGTTTCGTAGGTGTTCTAACTTTTCGCAGAAACAAATCTCAATTAGGTGAATTTTGCACATTCTCAAACTGTACATTGCAGAAGATAGTATTCGAGATAGAAATAGCAAGCAAAAAACAGAGATTCCCGCGTTTGATACTCCGTCTGATGCGCAGCATATGCGCGACTAATTACAATCCTCTTTGATGGTCGCCGCCGCCTTAACCCCCTCCATTCTTTCATCTCCGTTAGTCCCTGTTCCATCGGGTTTCATCAGCAAACGCGCTGGTAAACGCATTCCTGTATGCTTTTGGATCTTATATCGAACTAATAAAAGTATATTCATAAATAATAAATTCGAATTTGTAAACGCGTCTGTGAGTAACAGTTATTAATTGTAATTATAAAAATTGTATGTCGTCCTTCAATAAGATTAAGAATCGAAAAAAGATAATGGATATTGAGCTCATCAAGAAAAAAGCCGTATAAAATACGCACAATTAGCATTTTCGCGTTTGAAAGGAAAAGAAAGCGGCGAGAGAAGCGGGCTTCGTCAAAGAAAGCCGAAGGCTTAGCCTGTCTCATTGTAGATTTCTTTATTCTATGCTTCACAGTCTGCGCCGAAGTAAACCAAGGTCGTTCTTCGATGGGCGTAACAGACCGCGTTAACTGGACCCAAAAAGATCCAAAGGAACCGACTGTGGAAAACCCGAAATCGTGTTAACACGCATAATGGTAACATCATAACGACTCGGCTCGCCGTTTTGAATTTATCGTCCGCTTTTCTCCGAATAAAATATCAGAACCGATCTGTTTTTGCCGTTGGATCAGCAGTTTTTTGGATCCACTTCCTTTTATAGAAAACGTTCTATTCAATCTGATCAGGAATATTCAGATTTTTCATAATTTTTGTAAATGTGATTTTGCAATTTTGAAAATTTTATCGCTTGAACTACCTTCTCTCTCTCTCTCTCTCTCTCTCTCTTATAACTATTTTTAAATTTTTCACTAGAATTTTTGCGAAATATGTGTGGGTGTGTGTGTGTGTGTGTGTGTGTGTGTGTGTGTGTGTGTGTGTGTGTGTGTGTGTG